AAAAAAAAAAAAAAAAAAGGAAACATGTTAAAATAATTAAATGGTTTAATATGTTAAAAATATCATTTCAACATATAATCAATACAAATACTGAGATATGTTATGTTCTTTTAGATTGCAAGTCTTTGAAACCCAGTATTTCACATCTCCATTTGAACTAGCTGCAGCTCAAGTACTCAAAAGCCACATGGGGCTAGTGGCTACTGTACTAGAGAGCATTAAGTCTAGATAATCTTTAAGGTCTTCAGTTTAGGCATGTTGTGACTGTATTCCTAAGGAGTAGAGTAGGATGAAAATCATCTTAGGTCCTTTATGAGCGTGGTTCTGATTTATTACCAGTGTTCAACTAGGGTCTCATTCATTCATTCAACACATATTTATAGAACTTCTGTGTCAGGCAGGGCTCTTGCTCTCATGGCACTCAGTCTACTTGGGAAGACAAAAAGGCTAAACAAGCAATAATAATTCAGTATAGTAGGTGGTAGGCACTAAAAAAGCCCATAGCAAATACAAGGAGCAGACAAAAAGAGAAAACATCTCAGACGAGGCCCCACTGAGTTTATGACCATGCTCCAACATGTAGGTGGACATGCCTGAGGAGCTGGCATGATTGGCTCTTCGACTACACTCCTCTGTTGTTTTTAAGCTGGGTTATGGTATAGGACTTTTCAAGAATTTCATGGCTTTAAAAAAAAAAACCAAAATCTTTTCAGTTTTAACTAATTGAAATCTAAAGGATGAATGTTAGCCAAGCCAAAACAAAACTAAATGATAAGTATATGCCAAAACCTTTTCAGTAAAAAACCTGATAGTAAATATTTTAGAATTCAACCTATTGAGTTGCAATTACTCTCTTCTGCTGGATTTGGCCCACAGTCCATAGTTTGCCAATCCCTGGTATTTACCTATTAAAGTAACAATTAAATATCTACAGACAAGACAAAAATAAGTAAAATGGCACTGGGATCAATTCATAAAGAACTATTTGGAATCATTCAAAAAACTGTCTATGAGTTATTTATGCTTGTCAAAAAGCACTGCCTAAAACATGAACACTGATTATGAAAATAATTCGGTCTGACTGGGAAATAGTGGCAAGGTTTGGCTGCAGAACTGGGTCAGGAAGATGTTTAACTATAACCTTATTTGCATTTCAGAACGATTACTGTGGCTGTATCATGCAAAATGGTTTCAAAGGGGGAAAACTAGAGGCAAGAAGGCAGCTAAAAATTAGGGGAGAGGACAAACAAAATGTGACATATACATGGAATATACATATATACACACATACATGTAATGGAATATTATTCAGCCTTAAAAAGGAATAAAATTCTGACACATTATGATATGGAGGAAGCTTGAAGACATCATGCTAAATGAACTAAGCCAGCCACAAAAGAACAAATCATACAAGCATGGGTCTACTTATATTAGGTTCCTAGAGTAGTCAAATTCATAGAAAGTAGAAGGGTAGGCCAGGAGCAGTGGCTCACGCCTATAATCCCAACACTTAGGGAGGCTGAGGCAGGCAGATCACCTGAGGTCGAGTTTAAGACCAGCCTGGCCAACATGGTAAAACACCGACTCTACTAAAAATACAAAAATTAGCTGGATGCAGTGTCACGCGCCTGTCATCCCAGCTACTCAGGAGGCTGAGGCAGGAGAACTGCTTGAACCTGGGAGGCAGAGGTTGCAGTGAGCCAAGATTGTGCCATTGCACTCCAGCCTGGGAGACAGAGCCAGACTCTGTCTCAAAGAAAAAGAAAGTAGAATGGTGGTTTTGCCACAGGCTGTGGGGGAAGGGGCATGGGAAATGTTTAACTGATAAGAGTTTAGGCTGGACATGGTGGCTCATGCCTGCAATCCCAACACTTCGGGAGGCTGAAGCAAGAAGATCGCTTGAACCCAGGAGTTCAAGACCATCCTAGGCAGCATGGTGAGACCCTATCTCTACAAAGCATACAAAAATTAGCTGGGCATGGTGACACACACCTGTAGTCCTAACTACTTGGGAGGCCAAAGTGGGAGAATCGCTTGAGCCCAGGAGGTAGAAAGTGAGCCAAGATACTGCCACTGTACCCCAACCTCTCCGACTTGTGCTACAGAGTAAGACTACATCTCAAAATAACCCCCCCCCGCAAAAAAACCCAAAAAAATTGATCAGATTTAACTATATAGTGTATCATATACACTGTTTACATAGTTAACAGTGTATAGTGTTTAACTGATACCGTTTTAGTTTGGGAAGATGCAAAGTTCTAGAAATGGATAGTGGTGGTGATTGCACAACAATGTGAATGTACTTGATGGTACTCAAATGTATGCTTTAAAACGGTTAAAATGGTAAATTTTATGTTACGTATGTTAGCACAATTTGGAAAAAAACAGATTATCCAGACTAATTATTTAAACTAGTTCATATAGGAAAACATTGTGCTGAAATATAAAAAAATAATCAGGTTGAATCGACTTCCATTTTACAGTGATGCAAGTCTATTTCTGAGAATCCTTTAGGAGCCACCGTTCTCTGCTCCTTTCTGACTTTATGTCAAGCCTCCCCTCTGGACTCCCATTTGCTGCACTGTCTAACCCAACATGTTTTCAAAGAGGTCACCAATAATGCAGCATAGAGGTGAAAGAGGACTATATAAATGTGGACTCTTATATCACATGAAAGAAAAAAAATGCCTTCCCATTCAGTATCTTAAAAATCTGAACAATACTTTTAAAAAAGAAAAAACAGACTATTTCACAAAACTCTAGATTTCAAGCTTCTCTTGAAAATTCAGATCTAATAACTCTGACCCTGAATCCCACCCACATGCCAATAATTTATTACAATGGAGCAGCAGCTGCACTCTTTAGAAAGCCAAGTGTTCTTGATTTGCTATAGTCCACACAGAGACCTTTTTTTTTTTTTTTTTTTTGAGACGGAGTTTTGCTCTGTCGCCCAGGCTGGAGTGCAGTGGTATGA